GCCGGGGGGGGTCACCGGGGGGGCGGGTGGGGGTCCCCTCGCTGGTGGCCGCCACCCTTTCGAGCCCCCCCAGCTTCCACTCGCCCCCGGGGTCCACGAAGACGGCGTCGAGTCCCAGCGCGTGGTGAACGAGCCCCGAGACCCCCAGGAACGCCAGCGCCGTCTGCGGGGGCAAAAGACCCCCCAATATCGGTAACCCCCCCCCAATAAAGGAACCCCTCCCACCCAGGAGCCAAAATCCTCTCAGAACCCCCTCTGGATTCCAAAATCCCTCCAGATCCTGGAGACCCCCTCCCAAGATCCTGGGGATCCCCCCCACCCACCTGGGCCCCTCCAGATTTCATTTCAGGGTCTCTATAAAGGCCTCAGGGACCCCCTCCCCAGATTCCCCCCAGACCCCTCCTCACCAGCAGCCGCTGCAGCCCCCAGGCCACCTCCTGCTCGCCCGAGTCCCCGCTCGGGGGGTGCAGCCGCAGGTGCCGCCGCAGGGGGGTCACGGCCTCTGTCACCAGGTACAGGCACTGCTCCGTCTGGGGGGGACACTCCGGGTCACCCCCACTGCCCCCTGTCACCCCTCGTGTCCCCCCAAGTCCTTGTTTGTGTCCCTCCTTTGTCCCCTCGCTGTCCCCGCCATTCCTGTCCCCAAATGTCCCCCCGAGTGTCCCCCGTCCCCTCCTGACTGCTCATTCCCCTGTCACAATTGTCCTCCCGTTGTCCCCTGTCCCCCCGCAATGTCCCCCTCTCTTCATGTCCCCCCCGCTCACCCCCATCCCCTCATTCCCCCCATGTCCCCGTGACCCCCCCAGTGTCCCCACTGTCCCCGTGCTGTCCCCGGTCCTGTCACCTCCAGGCTGTCCAGGTAGCCCAGGATGTTGGGGTGCCGGAGGCTGCGGAGCCGCTTCAGCCCCGCCCGGGCCAGCGCGGTGGCACCGGGGTCCCCCCCCGGGCCCAGGCTGTGCGCGAACACCGACACCGGAGCGCCATCGGCCTGGGGACACGGGGACACTCAGGGGACACGGGGACAGGGGGGGACAGGGGGGAACACGGGGACAGGCAGGGGACGGGGGGGACAGGGGGGACACGGGGACAGGCAGGGGACAGCGTGGGGAATAGCACAGGGGAAAAGGGGGGGACACCGTGGGGACACGCGGGGCTGGAGCAATGACAGGACAGGGGGACACGATGGGGACAGGAGGGGACAAATGCAGATGTGGGGACAGTGGTGACACGTGGATAGAGACAGCTGGGACCTGGGGACATGGGGGAGGGGGGGTTCGTGGGGGGACATACGGTGACGTGGGGACAGGTGACAGCGAGAGGTGGGGCACAAAGGGATGAGGACACCGAGGGACACCGGGGGTGGGGACACCGAGCGACACCGGGGGTGGGGACACGGAGGGGACGGGGGTCGTGGGGACACGGGGGGGACTCGGGACAGGGATGGCGGGGCCGTGGCCATGCAGGGATGCGGGGACAGGGAGGGGACACACGAGGGGACACGGGACCCTCCCCACACAACCCCCCCAACCTTGCGGCGCCCCCGCAGCAGCCGCCAGAGCGGGGCCGGCGCCGCGGGGTCCGGGAGCGGCTCCGCGTCGGGATCCGCGTCGGGCGGGCCCAGCTCGAAGGGGAAATCCCGCACCGGGTCCCGGGAGAAGAGCCACATGGCGGGGCCGGGCCCGCGCTCCCGGGGGCTCCCGGGGCTCCGAGGGGGTCCCGGGGCCGGAGCGGGCCCGCAGGAAGCGGCGGCGGCGCCGGGCGGGAGGATCCGGTGACGGACCGGGGGGGCGGGGCCTCGGTGAGCCAATGAAAGGCCAAGGGTGGGGTCTGGGTGAGCCAATGAGAGGGCGGGGGTGGGGAATGGGAGGAGCGAAGGGCGTGGCTTGACAGAGCCAATAAGGAGCGGGGGAGGGGCCTGGAAGAACCAATAAGACGCCAGGAACGAGAAAGGGGCGGGGCGAAAAAGGGGCGAGGCCAAAAGGAGCAGGGAGGGGCGGGGCTTGTAAAGGACACGCGGCAGGAAGCGGCGGTGACGTCACCAAGCGGACCCAGCCCGCGTTGCTATGACATCAGTGCAAACAAGCAATGACGTCACATGCACCAATGCCACCCCCCAGCCCCAGTGACGACACAAGGCTGGTCAGGACTCTGCAGTTTATTGGTCACTGGGGGTCCCTGTCGCGACAGGGGGGTCCTGTCGCAGAGTCTGTCGCGATAACGGGGATTCACAGCGAGGCAGCGCCCCCTCGTGGTCCTGGCTCCTCGGCACGGGGGCCCTGTCACGATACAGGAGCACTGTCGCGACAGGGGGTCCTGTCTTCAGAGCGATCCAGGGTCCTGTCGGGACACGGAGCGCTTGCAGAACGCGGGTTCTTATCGTGATACCCGATCCCTGTCGTGATACGGGGCACCCCCCGTCCTGGAACCGTGGGTCACCCGGTGTGGGGCTCTGAGAAATGAGGGGCAGGGGGTCCCTGTCACAATAAGGGGTCCCTGTCATGACATGGAATCCCCCTGTCCCTGTACCATGGGTCACCCAAAACCATGTGAATAAACGAGGGGGGGTTCTGGTCGTGATAATGGGTCCTCATCGCAACATGGGGGCTCCTGTCGCGATATAAGATCCCTGTTGGGATACGGGGCCCATCCTTTTCTCTGGATTTTGACATCTCCAAGGCAAGGAGAAGAAATGGGGGGACTCTACCATGATATGGGGCTCCCTGTCGTGACATGAGGGGGTTTCTGTCGCGATATGGGGGTCTCTGTCGCGATAGGGCCCAGGCCAGCAGCAGCGGCGCCGCGGGGGGTCGAACCCCGCCCCGGGGGGTCCCGGGGGTGCCACCACCGGCGCCTTTTGCTTTTTTTTCGGCCTTTTTGGGTCCAGAGGAGAAAAAGCAAAACCTGAGAAAACGGGGAAAAGTTTTCTCAGGAAAAGAAAAAACCTCCCGAAACGGGAAAATAAAAACAACAAAAAACCTCCCCAAAACGTGTCCGGCCCCGCCCCATGCGATTTGGGGCAAAATGTGGGGAATTTGGGGCCGGAGCACACCCGAGAACGGGCACTTTGGGGGGTTTGGGGCCCAGTACGTGCCCCCGGCGCAATTTGGGCGGAGAAATGGGGATTTTGGGTCCGAGCGACGGCCCAGGCGCAAAACAGACTCAGAAACGGGGATTTGGGGTCACAGGCGCGTCCCGGTCGCAAAATTGTGCCGGAAAGGGAGATTTAGGGCGCAAAATGGGCTCAGATCGGAGGATTTGGGGTTAATCCCGCGCCCCCGGAGCACAACGAGGTCAGAAACGGGGATTTTGGGTCGATCGCGCGATCCGGGCGCAAAACGGGCTCAGAAACGGGGATTTGGGGTCGGACGCGCGCCCCCGGCGCTAAACGGGCTCAGAAAGGGCCACTTTGGGTCCCACGCGCGCCCCCGGCGCAGAATTAGCTCAGAAATGGGGATTTTGGGGTTAACCACGCGCCCCCCTCGCAGCTCGGGCCGAGAACGGGGGATTTTGGGGTCGGCGCGTCCCGGGGCCCCGCCGGTACTTACTCTGCTGGCTCACCTTTTCCTGCCTCTTATTTTGGGGGGAATTTCTAGTTTTTAAGCCTTTTTTTTTTGGAGCAAATTGTCCATTTTGGGGCGAATCAAGACGGTTTTGGCACTGTCACTGTGGGGAGGGGAGAGAGACAACACCCAACCCCCCATCTCCCACACCTGCTCCTCCATCCCTTTGCTTTGGGGGAAAATCTGGGCAAAACGGTTGAAAAGCTCCTCCCCCTCCCCAGGCACCACGCGAAAGCGCTGACTAAGCACTTTTTTGGGTGGAAAAAACCCTGGTTTTGGTTTAAATTCCCAGCTTGGGGGCGGGCCCTACAAGCAGCGCATTCTGAGGCAATTTTAGCAATTTTTGGGGGGGAAAGCAGCCAAACCCAAAGCTCCCCCTCCCCTTCCATCCCTGGAGTGGCCCATTTTGGGGTGAAAGCGGCACAAATACCAATTTCTGGCTCCCTACTGTTCCTGCAGACCCTGATTTGGGGTTTTTTTGCCCCAGTCTGGCTCTTGGAGGCTCCTCTGGCGGGGGCAGGGCCGGCGGGGCTGCAAAAAACATCCACGAGACCCCCCCCACACACACCCTGTCAGCACAATCCATTTTTGGGGGGAAAAGCGGCCGAATCGGTCAAACCGCCCGAAGGTCGCGGTTTTCCGCCGGTTTTGGGGGGATTTGGGGTCGGGAGGTGCCCGCATGCCACGTCCGGGGGGGTCCCCGCGCTCCCCCCACCTCCCGACGCCCCAAACCGGCCGGAATCGTCCCAAATCCGCCGCCCCTCCCCCCACCCCTCCCGCGCGGGTCCCGGGGGGGCTCAGGGTGGGGGGAGGGGCGCACCCGGTACCTGCCACCGCCGATTTGGGGGGGTTTTGCCTCAAATTCGAGGCTTCCCCGCCCCTTGCTCGCTCCTACACTTACTCGTTTTGGGGACAAAAGTCTAAATTTAACCATTCCTGCTGCTGGTTTTGGAGAAAAAACCTGAAAACATGATTATTGTCCCCTCCCCCCACGCCTGCTCCAGCCCCTCCCTCCGTGGGGTTTTTCGGGGGGTTTTACGTTTCTTTTTTTCCTAAGGAAAGCTCCCGGAGCCACCTTCCTGCTCTTCCAGCTTCACTTTTGGGGCAAAAAAGCTTCTTTTTGATGCTGCTGACTCCTCTCACTTGCGGCTGCGGAAAGGGCGGAAAACACCCCAAAACCGCCCCCTTCCCACCAAAAACCGACCTCCCCAAAAAATGAAATTAAATCGACTCTTACTTCTCTGCATTCCCCAGATCTGGGGGTTTTCTCCTCAAATCCCTGCCGGAATCTCCTGAGCGCGTTTTGAGTGCAGACTGGCCTTTTTTGGTTAAATCCTCTCTCTTTTTTTTCCCTTTCCTCGGCTTTTTCTCACCGTTTTTTTGCCTTTTTTTTCCCTGCGTTTTGCTGCTTCCCTGAGGGGGAAAAAAACTCGAGACACCCCCTCCCCCTTTCCCCACCCCCCCCCCAAAAAAAAAAACAAAACATTTCTTT